CTGTTGAGCAGCGACGGCTGGAACTCGCCCTCGAGGTCGACGGTGCCGCGGGGCTCGATGGCGTAGACGTAGTTGGATATCTCTATCAGCGGCAGGCTGGCCAATTGACGTTGTTGTCCTGGCGGTGCCTGAGCCGGCAGTATGCGATCGCTGTCGCCGTCAATGCAGTCGATGTCTTCGTGTCCAGCAGCTCTCCGCGGGGTGGTGAAGCCTCGCAGATATAGCTGACCAGGCGGGGTGCGACAGTCGTCAAGGGCTACGCTGTCCTGATCCCCTTCCCGTGAGCTGTAGCCAGAGGACATCCAAGGGTCCTTGCAGCGAGCTTGCCTCCTATACTACCTGTCCTCAGCATACGTCGCATGTACTCGCCCGGCGTTGTTGCTGTCGCTCGCGTAGTTACAACCTGTCCTTTACCGAAGCGGCTTAGCGCGGCCGTTGAGAAGACTTGGAGCGCGCTGATTGGCTGCAGCTGGGCCCGGGCGACTGGCCGCGGAGACGACGCGGAGGTGCCAGAAGCGGAAACTTCGAGAATTGCCGAGAGCGGCAGAATAACGCAATGCAATGCAGAATGGTGAAGACATGCGCGGTCATTGGATTTGTACATACAGTGATGCTAAATGCGGTAACGCGGTAAGCTGGTCACTGGCTCGGCTGGCGGGCGGGAAGGAACTCTGGCTGACTGCCTGATGGCGCGGGTGAGAGCGACTATGGATGAGCAGAGCACGGCAGAGTGGACAGCACGGCAATTGGGAGTATACGTATGTATACTGTGGTCACGACAGGCGAGGTAGGAGGGACAGCGACAGTCGGCTGGCTACCTGAAGCAATTGAGCAGCCATACTCGCAGTCGTCGAGACCAACCGGGCCAGTGCACAGATCAGTACGGCGTATCGTCACGTCATGGGCTTTGTCCATCAACATCGAGCAGCAGGCGGCAGGCGGCAGGCGGCGCTCGCGGCAGCACACGCCAGGCAACGCAGCTCAGCTCAGCACGAGCTAGCTAGCACTTGAACGTCTGCGGGCAGATGAGCACATGGTCGTTCGGCTTGTGCGTGCAGTTGTCGGCCTTGTGCTCCATCAGCTTGCCGTTGTACTTGAACCACACCCTGATGGTGTCCGAGGCCTGCGTGAAGTTGTGGAAGGACAGCTCGTGCGGCAGCTCGCCCTTCAGCGTCGTCTTCTTGTAGATGTACGTCGCCCGCGCCATCTTCGCGCAGTTCTTGTCGTACACCGCCGCGTTCATGTGGAAGAGCCCGTCGCCGGGCCAGTAGTGCGTTGTGAATGCTTCATGGTGGTATGGTCAGCCGGGAAGAGTCCGGACAAGTCGCATCAAACTAACAACGGTACCCGACATACTCAATGTGCAATCGCCCGTCGTGTTCTGCGGACAGTCCGGGCCGTTGGGAGAGTCACCGGCAGAGACGAGTGCGAGGTTGGTCAGGAATGCCACGATCCCGACGAGGAGGACGGTCACTAGCGACCTGGGCGACGCCATTGTGCTGTCACTGCGCTGCTGTCACTGCGCTGCTGTCACTGCGCTGCTGTTACTCGATGTTGCGGCTGCGCTACGGCTGCGTGCCGATTACGGTTGTGCGGGCAGCGTAGCGTCGAGGGCGATGATCTCTCTCGTGGCCGTTGGAGTGAGGCGTGCGTCGGATTCAGCCTGTACTGTACAGGTGCCCGTTGGATATGCGTATGCTTCTCTGGGCGAGGCTTCAGTCGGGGTGATGGTAGGGGTAGTGCGAGCTGTCAAGAGGCAGATATGATGGATTGCGATGCACGAAATCGATTCCCGCTGCTGCTTGGGACGGCGACTGCGACTATAGCACATCCAATTGCATGCACGGCACGACAGCATAAGACTGGCAGGCAGCAAGCGTTGGTACCAGCACAGCCATCACAGCAGTGGATGGACAGGTCGGTCCGATGAGAGTGCGTAGATATGCGTCACGAGCCCCCGGCCCAGCACAGCGCAGCACGGCGGGCCAACCGCCCGCGCGAGAAGAGACCGATGTTTCACTCCGCCGCCGAGCTATCTGCGTCTCGCGCACACGCGCCCAAGCATGCAAACACGTACTGTATGGACGCTACGGGAGGAGACGGCCGAACACGCACGCACGCACACCCATCCTCGCCGACCCCATCAGCATGCTGCGCCGCAACGCAGCGGCGCAGCGAGCGCACGGCAGCGCGGGCGACGAGGATGATGATGATGGGGATGACGAATTGCGACGAAGGCCGTGGAGACTGGCGCGGGCGCTCCTCTGCGCTGTCTGGCATGCGCCGTGCCCCGTTTGTGCCCGGTGCCAGATGCCCGGCGCCCATGCTGCGGATCACCGTCGCACAGATCACCAGATCGTCTGAGATCTCACGGTGGGTGGTGGTTATGATGGTGCTGGTGCTGGTGCGGTATCACTTGGCCAACAGACAGGCACAACCAACCGCGTCGTCACTGCCACATGGGCTCTGGCCAGCCCGCTACGCTACGCTATGGTATGCTATGCTTAGTGTGGGAGCGGCACGGGGCCGCCAACCAGTGACTACGTACTGTTGCCGCGCGCCGTCAGCTGGGATAGGACAAGGGTCCCCCCGCCATCGAACCACCAGCTCGACCACTGCCACCATCGCCACCTTCGCGTCGAGCAAGCCACATCCAATGTCGTGTCCATACGAGCGAGACAGATGAAGGCAGCCATCTGTATACTCTACAGTACCTCCTTCGTGAACGCCGCCCAGTACATACCCAACGCTGCCAACCTGCCAACCTGCCAACCTAACCTATAAACTGCCGCCTGCATCACGTCGATCCCACAGCGCTCGGGCCCCCGATCATCGGTTACGCGCCGCTGCCGCCCAACCGTGCTGCCGTGCTGCCGGTGCCATTGCCGTCGCGTCTCCCCGCTGAGCACCTGCTCAATGGCACAGTGACTCGCTGGCTTGATTATCTGCGCTGCTTCCACCTCGCAGCCCGTGCTGCGCGCAATTGATGACTGGCATATGGGTGGCCACGCACCATATCTTGCAAGTAGGCTAAACACGCTGTACAGCACCACAATCACACGCGAGAAGTGGAAGGATCAGATGAAGCATCGTGCCAGCTCAGTCATGCCAGTTGACGATCGCCGGCTACGGCAAAAAGATATGACCACACTGGGATTCGAACCCAGAATCGCTTGATTGCAACCGAACTTTGGAAGTTTGGAAATCGTAGTCAAGCGCCTTGCCAATTGGGCCATGCGGCCATTGATGTTGAATCAGCAGAAGAGGGCAATAAGACCATTCACTGATGTCGCAATTGCTGTACAGTATTTACTCAGAGCGAAGCCGACCACTACAACCTACTGCGAACGCCCAGCTGTCAACAACCTGGGACCAGTATGAGCTACTGTACCTCAGCTTGACGGTCAACGGCCCGACTGGCAAGACGACATGCTGGTTCGCCAGACTGAGTGGGCAGTGGACGCTATTTGGCCGCAGATCTGGACCTGCGGCAATGCCGTCTCACAGTCAGGCGAAGTGCAGCAAGCAGCGGCTGCTGTGCCCGGCGAGGCAAGGAGCAGACTGGATGTGACGGCTGCTACGGCTGCTGATTGACGCCGCGTCTCGTCCCATTGACAGCTGCACAGATGCGCGCGGTCTGGCTGAGACCGGGCGGATTGCTCGCAAGGGTGCTTGATGCACCGGTGACACGGACTGCGCCAGGTCTCGACGAGGACGGGGTTCACAAGGCGTGCAAGCGACTGCTGTCGTGCGGCCCCTTTTGGTCCCAAACCACCTCTATCTCCACGCCCGCCGACGATGACTGGACCTGTCAAATGCAGTCACATCCAAGACGACCCGTCACGACAGTGCAGTGCAGTAGTATCGACGCTAGCAGGCGAGAGCGGAGCCCCCGTCCTCTTGCATCATGCCGAGAGTCCAGATGAACGCACGGGAGGGACATGACATGGCTGGTGTGACGAGGGTGCGTGAAACCTGCTGCCACGCGGTTCGGCGACATGGGGCAGACGGAGAAGGGGCGCGTGCGTCGCGCACAGGCCAACCTACCCCCTGAAGCCGCCGTATGCTTTAAGCGCACGACCACAGGCCGAGCCGGAGGAGAGGATGCCTCGGGCGACTGGCGCTGGACCATGAACCTTTCTGAAGGCCCTCTCCTGGCGCCTGCTATGTTCATGCGGCACGCCACAGCGCGATGAGCTGACTCGCGCTGGTGTCTCGAGTCGTGCTTGCAGGGTTGGGCCGCCCCCGCCGTCTCTCCGCGCCCGGCTGGAGCCATCGAGTCGGCCCGCGCGAGCCTTGGCAGGGCAGCGATGCGATCCGCAAGGCGTCGCCCATATGGTTTGCCATGTGGCCCATCCCCGCCAGACGTCGGCGAAGTTATTAAAAATAAATCCAAGTACGGCATAACTTAATAATTGTGATTTTAAAGATGGATTTCTAGAAACACCTA